GCTCAGACAACCAGAGTCCTGACGATAGCATTTCTGGGTTCGAGGGATTTAGCTGAAATTCAATCGAATCATCAAAAGGACACGTAATTTGCAAATCATGTTTGAAAAAGTTTATTCTACACTGAAATTCTGGGGGACATCCTAGGAAGTTCCCGTAAAATTGTTTTTCGTCAATGTTCTCTTGATTCCCATCATTATTTCTCTCCAATCTTGAGCGAGATGAGGGCATTTCTGAGAACCTTTGCGATTTCTAGTTTCTAGCCTGTTCACTGGTACTCCTTGTGTTCTTTGCTCTCGAAAAATACATCGCAAGCACAGAAACTCTTCGCGTCCTTGTAGGTAAAATGGTATTGGTCAGTAACCAATATAGTACAATTGATGAATTAGGTACTTGGAAAGTTCCGCAATGCGAAAAAAACTACATTCGACAAAGACTACTGACTAACTTGCTTTGTGAGCATACCTGATGGTCACATTCAATTTTCTCGCATTTGCGGGGGCTTTTAAATCAGTAGAACTGAGAGTATCTATCGAAACGCGTTAGGAAAAACACCGACCCCAACCCTTGGAGGATTAACCCAGCTCCTTTCAGAATTTTGGAGATCAAAACGAAAACCTGCATCCTGTGTTGTCAAGCCTCTTTGGCAGTCTGGTTAGCGTATCGATTCGAGAAGTTCATTCTGGAACCGAAGCTCTAGGTCTTCGAACTTCACATGGCAGCTTCGTGTGTACAAAACCTCTTGAAGCAATGAGTTTGGTTACTTTTGTTCATGTGACACCAATTCTCCCTTTCCGTATCTGCTTGTTCAACTCTTTTGCAAATCTCGTTTCACGATATCACCTTATGTTCCTAACCATTCTCAAGAGGTGTCCTCTTTTCATAATTCTGCGACCGATGAAAGGGAAACAAACATTTTTGCTAGGCTTACTTTCGCCTTTTGTTTCAGATCACTAGATGATCCAAAGGGTTGTGTAACCCGATAGTTTGATTTGTGCAGTATGTACTCATTAAACGTGACAAATCGGAGCACTTAGCAAAGCCGCCAGCCCTAGGACCTCGTTTGACACACAAATCAAAACAATATCGCACCTGTTCCCAGTCAGAGACACTCCCAATCGATAATCGTGAGGGAACGTGAAGAGTTTGTTTTATTTGCTTGGTGGAACACACTACTTATATTGTTGCCGAAGACTTTTCTATAACCAACTGCTGAGGGTCATCAGATAAGTGCAGTCCCCGAGTTTCCGTCAATCAACTGTTTGCTAAGTAAGTCGGTGTTAATGGGAGACTCATCTGAATCCCAGCAGTCATACACGTTTATGAGTCTCCGGTTAACAACTAATTGATTTTTAAACCAGTTCAGTTCACCAAATTGTTGTGAGGAGCCAGTCCGCATGTACTTTCAAGATAACACGCTTTCGTGCCTTGGCGAAATCTTCGCAATTACCTGCAAATCCTTCTTACTGACTTCTTGATTAGTTACAACCGGAGGGACTAAATTTTGGTGCAAATATCATCACCCGTGAAAGGTGGGGATCTCTACTAAACAGTTGAAGACTATTGGACAGTAAAGAAAAATTCTCATGTGTACCTTGTTTTTTTCGAAAAAAACAAATATCTGTCTTCATGATGTACTACTCATAAGGTTGCTGAAAATCCATCGACAGCCACGACCGGTTTCGCCCTTCTTTGGGCTCATCAGGTAGGCGCAGTTCCCGGGTTTCCGTCTTATGTTCTACTTGAAACCAAATTGCACGAAATTAGCGAATATACACTCATTTGCAAACTAATTTGGTTTCTCGAGAGACTCACCTGGAACCCAGCTGAATCTCTCGTTTGTGATGTTCTCAGGCAACTGAATGTGCTGCACCAGGCCACCTTATGATTAGTACATAACAAAGATATACATGTATCGCGACATCTCGAATATCGCAGCGACCGAAACATGAGGCGGCCTGGTGGAGCACATTCATTTGCCTGGAAAAATTAAACCCGAGAGATTTAGCTGGGTTCCGGGTGAGTCTCTCGAAAACCAAATTAGTTTGCAAAGTTTGCAAATGTTTGCAAGTATCTGTCTTCTTCTTGAACGTGTCTTCCTGGACTTTCCTGGATATTCATTGGCTATCACGCACTAGAAGACGGAAGCTGCAAAGCAGTTCCATAAATTCCGTAATAAATCCCACTTTCCATTAGATCAGGGCGGAGTTGCAAGAAAATCACATACTACTCGCATGCCCAGTCAGTAGTACCCACCGTTACACGCGTACGCACCTTTATTGGTAATTATTTTTAAGAGTAGATACTGGATTTCTCTATCGGTATATGTTTCACTGATTTACATGTAAACTGTGAATTATGGTAGAGTTTGGTTCGTACACCTTTCATATGTTTGTGTGTGGCGACTGCAAACATGACAACTAGTTCAAGTGGATGCCTTTGTAAGTGGTATATGCGGAATCGGTTGCCAAAACGTCTTCCTAGGTCGCACGGTTCCTGTGCTGTTGTTTCTGCTTCGGAAGAGGTAATTTATGTCCTCGTAACATTCACGGTATCCTAGAGCTTCTTTCCTAAGCAACATAGGTGATTTGTCAGCCACTGCCTGTGCGATAGTACGCTCCGTCCACATGTGACTACTGAAGGCCGCATCCAATGCGTTCCTCTGGTCTAGTGTGTCAGTTCTTTAGGCTATTCAGCATTGTTTTCGAATAAGATCCTATAAGGCATCCGTGGAACGACCAAAAACACCAGTAGTGTAAAGTGTGCCATTTCTCAGCGATCTTCTAGTGAATTAGAGGTATGGCTGTACGTATATGGTAAGTTAGTACACGTTCTAGGATTGGCTCATCACATCGATCCATGCCGACGGACCCTCGTCTACAGAAAGTAATGTCACGTGCACTGAGCCATGTGGGTAGTCGGCTATATGCCCTCTACCCGATGTAAACCGGAGGAACTAAGACCGGAGTGTGTGAATGGGAAAGGTAGATTCCGAAACCATCAGTATACCAAGCTGCTGGTTCGTAATTCTCGATCTGAATGATTAGAATTGAATAGATGAAACCCACAATGTAGGCGAAAGGTAGTCTGGTCGACCACATCACATACATACAGTTGTCTGGTGCGAATCACTATTCAGCCAGGTCTGGACTCCCTTCCGTTGTAAGCCTAACACTCCGGAATATCCGAAATAGCACGGGATACGAAGAAAATAAGGTACGATTCAGAACAGTACAACATACTACAACGTATACGGTATAAATCTAACATAGAAATCGAATCAACCTACTCGTATGGCCGAGTCAAAACACAGTCAGCGTACGCAGTGTACCTTCAAATCGGTGTTTTGTGATCTTTTGTCCAACCCAAACTGTTGATTCAAAAGGTGACGCTTCCGTCCTCAATCCTCTTCGATTTAGTCTAACATGAGCACAAGAAACTGGAAGGGATGCAGCATTACTCAATGTATCCCAATGTACATTTACTGAGTCTTTAAAAGTACGCAAAAACAAATGGGAAATTCGATGACCTGAGATAAGTACCTCTGTAAACCTAAGTTGTTGACTAGTTGACTGTCATCCTCTGAGGACCTCATGACTAAAGCCGATCAAAATCAACAGTCATCCTATCGATAGACTCGGTAAAAAGCGTATTTCCTCACTACAACATTGGAACCATCCGCCTTGACAGGGTCAGTTTAGTAAAACAAAAACTTTTGTTGTTGTTGTTGTTGTTGTTGTTGTTTTTGTTGTACAAACCACTTCAAACCATTCTGAACACCTCTTCATAATTGTGAAACGACAGTAGCTCAAGTATGGTCATAAGAATATCTGATCATCTCGGAGTACGCCAATGTAGTAACATTGACAATGATTGTGAAGGACCACGAACTGTAATTTTCACAAAACAGCTGACGCCTACAGAACAGGAAGTGCGCGCGCACGCATACGCGCCAACCCGCCCGACTGCGTACATATTTGAACGTGTTTGCGTGTACGCACTCCCCTCAGCGCGCGCTTTGTGTTTTGTGATCTCCGCCGGGATGGTGAAACAAGCGCGCGGAATGTGAACAAGAAAGGGAAAAGGAAGCGAAGAATTGTATGATGCGGGCACGATCATTCCGTTTTTGTGTCCGCGCGTGCGGGCGCTTTCTCGTTCGCGTATCTTGTTCCATCTTGGTCGGTGTGTATGCGCACGCTGCTGGCTTCTGTTTAGTCCTGTCAATCATTTAGGTTTTGTATGGGTCGATTATCTTGTTCAGGTATCTCATGCTCTTTCCATCTCTATCACTCGCACGCTCCGTGGTCGCTTCGCGGACGGACGGACGGACGGTGGAGCGCGTAGTGAATGGTAAATTTTCGCAGCGGTACAGACAATAATTGTACCAGTTAGCCTAAGTCGCCAGAACAGCTGAGCAGCTAATTACGTGGAACAGCTGCACGGTTGATCTTGGCAAATCACAACGGTTTTGGCAAGGCAGAATTCACGCGAAAATGAGGTCCCCATTGGAGCGGTCTTGACAATTCGTAAACACAACCAGCGCAACAGGTGGGCGTAGCCGTGGTGTGTGCCACTGAAAACTATTTAATTACCCTTTCCCACTGATCTGTATCGAAATTCTGATCTAAGATTGGAGGGGATTACGCACCACTTTATAGTGCTTCTAAGCTGCGAGTGAGTAACTGACTGCTAGGTGTGCGCAGGTTACCTGCGTGCAACTTTACCCTATTTACCGTTAGCATCTCAAGACGACCATGTATATGGGTTGAAAACGGTCGAAACTTTGTTCACACGTTTCTCTGGAAAAAAACCCCTTGAGAAGATGGTCATGAATCGTCTAAATGTTCTTTTCTGTGAAGGAGTTTATCACTGAAGCCCGCCCCAAGGGGACCAACGAAGAGTGGTCTTTTTCAGAGGAAGACAGGTGTAAAAATTTAAAACCGTATTTTTTATCGATCTAACAACAAATATTCAATCCTTTTTCCTCTTTTGTTCCGTGTAGTTTTCCGATTGTCACAAACCAGCAACTTCAACAAAATGACCCCGAACTGGATGCTGACAAGAAAACCATTGTGAAGTGAGTATGCAGAACAACGGGATTTCATAAAACTAAAATAGAATTACCATCAGTAGAGGTCATATCCCAGCCTATTCACACAGGACTTTAGCTGGCAGTTAAATAGGACACAGTGGAAAGATTCAAGTATTGTGGTCCATTTGACTGGGCTATCAACCTCTTGACAGTTGACTAGCAAACAAAAATAGGTTGCGCGTTTGACCGGAGATGTGAATTGTGATTCAATCGCGTAACTACTTCTAGCTAGGGGTCTTCTGCGAACTCATCGCCCCTGAAAATATGTACTTTTGGCTTTTGATCCTTATGGTCTGATTCTGTTGGTCGTTCAGTTGAGCTGCAGAACCCTTTTGGTGCCTAGCTGCCCTGTCACCAGAAGGAAATGCAAGGGCTGAGATACTGCCAGGTTGCCCAAGCCCAGACAGAGGAAGTCGAGAGGCAGAGGTCGGGTTCGAACCACGGACCATCTGGTCAGTAAATTTGCACTCTAACCACTGAGCCATCTCGTCCCCCGATTCTGTTGATCAAGTTATTTCATAACTCCTACTCAGTTTGCATAAACGCACCTTAATACGAAACCAAAGTGATGAGGTGCAAAGCGGACCATGGTCAGAGCGGTAAGACTATTTCTATCGATTTTCCTAACAATGACAATAAATCTTAACGAGCTCCACTTTGAACTAAGCCAATCAGCTGTCGCTCCAAAACTTATCGTCCACTCTCGACAAGATCACTTAAGTCCGGCACTCACTTGGCTGCCAAATTTCCATCTGGAACAGATTTTTCGGCCAACTGAGCTGCTTCGTACGTACAACTGCTCACCTTGTCGCCCGTAATACATAACTTTTAATGTCACAAATTAAGTACCGGACCCAATAGATGAAAGTACGTGAGTGCAGTTGCACCTGTATTTGATAGATGCAATTTCTCATCACATATGTTTGGAGGGATGCTTTAAAGGCATGTCACTCAGTCTTAGGGGTCACGTGCACCGGCCTATAGTAATAAGGGCTTTGTTGTGAGGCATAAATTCTCAGGTCAGATGATCTGAGGTTTTTGATCACCGATGTCTGGCATAGGAAGACATCGACGAATTCATGGCGAGGTCACGAAAACCATTCAGCACCATCAGTGTTGTTCTTCGTGCCTTATTTTGAATAACAAACTGCGAGGTAGACGATGTTTGAGTTGACAAAGGGTGTAAATGAGACCATGAAGAGTTTGGATGTAGCTGGTGCCATCCTGTTTTCAGGTGAGTCTCTCGTCAAAACCAAATTTATATGCAAATGAGTGTATTTGTTTAATTTGGATTCACTTTGGACATAAGGCTGACGGAACCTTAGGGGTTGCACCTACCTGATGGCCCCAAGGCGGACGAAACCAGTTGTGTACTGTCGAAATGTTTTCAGCAACCCTACGAGTAGTGTATTGGGTCCCCATGAGTTTGGCTGAAGTTATTGCAAGAAGTGACATCTAACCAATTTTAGTGGCGGTCATAATGACAGTTTCTTTCTAGAATGTCTGATTGAGCTCCTGGAGGTTTAGGGGCCTTAGCATGCTTGTGATAGGTTAGCATTAGATCTATAAAGGAGACTACTCACAAGGTTTCTGAACATTCTTCGACAGCCCACGACCGGTTTCGCCCTTCTTGTGGCTCATCAGATAGAGACAGTCCTCGAGTTTCCGTCAACCTTATGTTTTACTTGAACCCAAATTGGACTGTTTTCGAGAAATACACTCATTTGAAAATCAATTTGGTTTTCACGAAAGACTCAACTGAATCTCTCGTTTATGGTATTCTACAACCGAATGTGTTGCACACAGGCCGCCTCATGATTCAGTTTGCTCGATATTCGAGATATCGCAGTATATTTTCATAAAGGAAACTACTCAGAAGGTTGCTGATGAGCCTCAATTTGGGCGAAACCGGTCGTGGGCTGTTGAAGAGTTTTCAGCAACCTTGTGGGTAGTTTCCTTCATGAAAATATACTGCGTGAGAACCAAACTGATTTGCAAATTGGTGTATTTCTCGATAGCACCGGATCCCTTATTCATCCAGTCTACCTAGGAAGCCGTCACCGATTGATAGGCTTGAGAATCATTCACTGTACATCCCATGCTCCTACGTCGGTTATGCTCTCCGTTCACCGTTATCTCCTTTTCCATCGTCTTGTATAGCCACCCACTCTATCCTCTTCTGGCGGCATTACTGCAACAATGCGAACTTGCCTCAGCCAGACCAGATTCCCCTCCCCCACTGGACGCATTCACCGAAGAGCTTCGTACCTACGTACAACGGCAGTTTGAAATGGAAGATGCCGATCTAATCAAATCGAAGCTAAAAGACAAGGACTACTATCCCAGCACCTTCACCGACCAGCATCCATACAACAATACTATCTCGAGCGGTGTCACTGGCGGTCGTCTCACGAGAGCCGGCAGTAGGTACAAACAGAATGGAGCAGGCGAGTTGTTGGGAGGCAACAAAAATATGCGGCCGCATTCTCGAGAATGCCGAGGAGATAAGACAAAGGAGTCCGCAGACAAGTCAAATAGCCTGATGGATGTGGACTATCCTCATGACCCAATGGGTCCAGGGCTGGATTCGGGACCATTTGAAGAGGATCGGAAATTGAATGTGTTTGTAAACGACCGTGAACTGGATGAGCTAGTGAGTCATGGTTGAAGAACTAGTGTTTGGTAGAGTGCATGTTTTTTAGTCACTTTGGTTGTAACTCCAGTGCTTAGTATCATCTTCGTTGAATCGTCGCAGGTGCAAAAGCGCGAACGAGGCATTCTCGTTGACTTCGCTTGTTAATCTTACAGACTGTTTATAGGAATACCGGACTACTGACATTCGATTGTAGTTTTCTCACCCATGGATATGTCTTTCTCCAAGTTGGTCTGAAAAAGTCTAAGAAGCAATACAAGGACGAGGTCTATCTGGTAAAACCCCAAGAGGAACGAAACAGGGTGTGGACATGTAGATGATTTTCAGCGACATTTTGAGTAGTATTTTATGTCGAGGCAAATATTGTTGTTTATAGCATTCGTCTTTGCACAGAAATGACCACAGACAAGAGATTTTAGCTGTGGATTATAGCTGAGTCTCCCGTATTTGAAGTTCACAACTGAATGTACATCGAAACATACGTACAAACTTCTTCGAAATTTGGAGATTACGCCTACCCGATGATCTCCAAGAAAGACGAGGGCTGTCAATGGTTATCATCGAAAATATGTGTAATGGTGAAAAATTAAATCTGATCAACCCAGGGCGAATAGCCTTGCATATACCAGCATCATAATGTTACAGCTCGGACGCTTTTTTCGGTTGCTGGTTTGTCCGCTCGATTTATCATGCAGAAATGAGCTGGATAAAAGCACGACAGAGGGTCTCATTCCACTTGTTGGGGTTCCATCTTGACACCTTCTCCACTTTTCTTCCTCTCCAGATCGTCAAGGCCATTCAAGTTCTCCGAATACATCTACTGGAGTTGCACAAAGTGAATGAACTTTGCAAGGATTTCTGTTCGCGGTATATTCACAGTCTGAAAACCAAATTTCAGTCTGATCCAATGATTCAAGGTGAGCAAAATGTGCTTCGATTTTTTTCGGAAAACCGCAGATTAGTACATGAAGGATTCAACTTTTAGTCGCACCTTGTTCTTGAGGTTACTTGCTCAAAACTCTGAACTGGGTACAGTGAGGCTGGAGACCGTTTATTTCTGCATGGAGTGGACAATTATTGCAAAGAATTGGAGTAACACGACCACAGAAACATTGGGGTTGGTGAGGGACTGTAAATGCGACCACACAGATTCAAAGTGGCTGACAGAATGCGTGACGGCTGCAGTCTCTCTTAAGTTAGAGACGACAGGAATACAGACAGATATGCGGAAACTCACGTTGGTTTGCAGTTTGTCTCCGACAAATAGGGATAACTCAGTTTGAGACGAAAAAAGAACCAACTAAGGATTGTTCTGCCATCATTTGTATATTACATTTTTGCTAAGTTGAGGTCCAAACGAGTTTCTAACGGATTCCTTGCGATCGATGGTGGCGCCAGGCACATTCCAAATAAATGTACCTTCTAGTATTTTGACAAGTTTTACTTAAAACTTCTTGACCTTGTGATGAAATATGATTCGACCCAGAAAGCTCCCCTGAAATTGAGATGAAGACAGTTCTGACCACCAGTTAAATCTTTGGAGCTCCGTGGTGAGCAACTGATACTCGCTCTTTCGAATTGCACTTACTATGAATGACATTCGCGGGATTTTATGTTCTCTCTAACCAAACTGCCGAACTGCAACATCGGTATTACAGGCCCCGGCGAACGCGAATACGAGCATTCACGCAGAATGGATCTTGTTACAGGTCCTAGACGATAGATTAAAGTCCAGTGGGGGTGGATTTCTGTACGCAGCAACAACGGTTGACTATGCATCTGCAATTACTGGGGTACGGTTATGGTGTTAGCCAAGACAACCGTCAAGGCGTGAACAACACATTTCGATCAGAGTCAAGAAAGAATAACATGGTATGATGACCGTCGTCAGCGGGTGATACATTTGTCACTAATTTGGGATTAATGAACCAATCTGGGTTAAAAATACAGTTGAGATTTCTGGTTGGAGCAGTCTTGGTCCTCTTAGCTAACAGCCATCACGGTGCATCTTGAATTACACTTACACCGAGTGAGCTGAAGAAAAGTTCATTGGTCTACAACAAACACATTGATTGTGTGGTAAACATTGCTCTCTCTCTAGGGAGTTGCGTTAAAACTGGGATACCTCAGAGCATGTTACTCCAACTGTACCGTAAATTTTAAGTGCGCGACACTCCCCAGGACAAAAAATTATATCTTATCTAAGAGTGTATTGAGATCTCCGTATACTGAACTCAATTTTGGGGTATAGAGCTTGAAGGCCGATTTTATGGTAATGATACTGAACTTCACGATCAAGATCGCCACCAGAAACGATTCCACAAACATGACAGCTCGTGTTGTTTCCCACCCAAATGCTTCAAAATGACTTCAACAGGGAAAACCCGTTGGAGACTCACAAAATAGCTTTGAAACTGTTGTTAAAGTTCTTGAGGCACGAGTCTCATCGACACAGTAATCCATCAAAATACCACGCCGGCGCATGCTGTGGGTAAAAAGTCACGCATATGATTTTCAATAAAAATGCTCTTAGTGCACCTCAACTCTGGTGTATACGGACAAGAAACTCTAGATTGGTCTGGTGAAATCGCGGTTCACAAAGCCAATCGTGTCGTGAGTGGGCCGGTCAGTTATCCTATTTCCAGCTTCATTTGTACTGCTTGATCGGTATTGAAAGAAGGCTTCGATTTGTTGACAACCCGGAAAGATTGTTCGGACAGTTCGTCCGCCAGGTTGCCTAGAAACACGCAATATCAACCATATTTTCGGGATGCTCATTCTACACTTTTAACTTCTGTGCACTTCTATTGCCTGTATTCTAGTTGGCTGGTTTAGAACCACTGAGTGCACGGGTCCCATAGCGCTACAGTTGATGAATGATGTATTGATGTATAGACATAAGCCGAATTGTACCGTGAGTGAATATATCATGCCATCGACGCGTCTGGTCGATCGGGTTAGGGGCTTATACCACATCGGTTGGGCTCTCCATATGACCCACAGCTTGATCTGTGTAGTCCTCAAAGGTGGGACCCCCAATGAACCCCGCGAACAAACGGTAAAACCAAGGAGTGACAAAGGTCAAGTTGGCGTAAACAGTATTGTAACTCACAAAACCATGAAGGCTGCGGAGAATCGGCGCTTCGGAACCAAACTTTGGGAACAAGCAGCTAATTTACCACTGATCGATGGAGAATATTCAGGACAAATCGGTGGGTCTAGAACGTTCCAAACTGAAATCCGAAAAATAACGGGTGTCTAGGCTTCGAATTTCGTGAGACTAGTCGAGTTCTTTGTTCCAGTGTTAAATGCGAATCTACTCAAACAAAGTGACAAGGGGTCAGTTTCGAGAGTTCGAAGGCTGACCAAGCTTCGCAATGAGGCAGCTAGACATGGGGAGGGAATTACGGACACCGTCGTACACAAACACCTCATGGCCAACACCTTCACCGCAGATTGCTGCGTCTTCCCATTATTATCGATCGGCAGCTGATATTTTCAGTGGCTGCTGAACGTGGACTCAACAAATTCAACAAATATGAGAAATAGTTTTGGATGCTCTCACAAAGGAAACTACTCACAAGCTTGCTGAAAAATCTTTGACAGCCCACGACCGGTTTCGTCCTTCTTGGAGATTGCTAAATTTGGTGCATTTTGGGTCCACCTAAGACATGGAGTCAAGGCAATCTCATGACCTGAGCCTACCTACTATGCCTCATGACGAGCGAAACGCGTCGTGGACTGTCGAAGATTTTTCGAGAACCTGAGTAGTTTCCTTCATGAAAATATACTGCGATATCTCGAATATCGTGCCAACTGAATCATGAGGCGGCCTGTGTGCAGCACATTCAGTTGTAGAATATAATAAACGAGAGATTCAGTTGAGTCTCTCGTGAAAACCAAATTGATTTGCAAATGAGTGTATTCCTCAGGTTTTGTTATCTATCTGTTTTTTCAGGCAGCAACTTCGAAAAGTAGGTTTTCTATTTTGAAGGTTGTGGAAAAAACTTTAAATTCAACAAAAAAATATCAAAGTGTCGAGGAAATTCTGCGACAGCCAACTTCTTTAATGAACCTCCATAGATGGAGAGTTCTTTCGTTTTGCTTGAGTCTCACACCAAGTTAGTACTCGGATTACAGAGTTACTCGGCGTACTCGGGACTGGACGGTGAACCAGAAACATGCTCATGTTTGGGAACGTTTTCCACCAAATGGACACCAAACAGAAGCAAAACTGACACCGCACACAACCTCTTTCCCTCCCAAGGAAACAAAACACATCCATGATGGAGACAATTTCTAGGGTTAATGCATTTTTTCGTTGCAATCCCTGCTCAAGGAAACAAAAGTCACAGAATCGCAAAAAAGCACCTTATGAGTTTATTCCGCGAATTTCGTACAGTGCATTGCAATATCTAGAATATCGTGCCAACTGAAAAATGAGGCGGCCTGTGTGCAGTTGTAGAATATCATAAACGAGGGATTCAGTTGAGTCTCCCTTCAAAACCAGATCGATATGCAAATGAATTTATTTGTCTAGATCTCTCCAATTTGGGTTCAAGGAGAACATAAGGTTGACGGAAACTCGGAGACGGCATCTACGCGATGAGCCCCAAGAAGGACTGTCAAAGAGTCTTCAATAATCTTGTGATTAGTTTCCTCCAAGAAACAACCTTTTGGTTCTCTTTGTGGTCGCTTGTCAGACTGACTTCGTCGATAATTTAGTACCGCACGATAACTTGTCGCTGCCTCGGTTGGTCCAAGAGAGACACGTCTTGGTGTCAACCGATCGTACTTAGTGGTCCATGTCTAAGTTAAGCAGGATTTGGCAAATCACTGGGTCTTGTGTCCTAAATCAGCGAGTTATCGGCCACCATGCAACTTGGTATACGTTTTGATATACAACAATATTAAACGTCTGGAGCACCGACGTCGGGTGAGGTTCTATCTCATTTTGATTAGAGCTGCTGAAAGCACCTGTTCCCCGTGGAAATGTTCAAAGTTGAGGTGCAGAACGCATGCGATGCGATTAGCCTTTCTTAGGACTCATCCGTAAGCGCGGCCCCCAAGTTTCCGTCAAACTTGTGTTGCGACTGAACACCAAACTGTACGCAATTGAGGAAGTAAGTTCAAATGCAAACTAAATCGGTCGCAAATAACTGTGGTTCGTCATCATCTAAGGCAAACTGCACCGAAGTTCACCCATTGGTAGGGCCCGGGGGTAAGATGGCCCAAGTGGTTAGGGCACGAATTTACTAACCGGAAGTTCCATGGTGGTTCGAACCCGACGTCTGCCTCTCGACTTCCCTGCCTAGGCTTGGGCAACGTGGCAGTATCCTAGCCCTCATGCAACCTTCGGGTGGCATAGCAGTTAGGCGCTGGTCGTGCAAGCCCTCTGCCGCGCTGTGGTTTGAACCTCGTTTGTCTGACTGCACGGTGATGTGTTATTACCAACGATCAACCAGTGCCCTCTGTGAGGACCCAAAGTTTCACGTCTGAAAAGGTAGGCGTATTAAAGTTTGAGTAAAGGATCGAAAGAAGTTCAACGAACTGCCGCAACTGTGTCCGTCGTTTACTTAGCCTCGTAGGACTTGCCAGTCAGTCAGTCCTACGGGTAGCAAGCCTTTGTTGGTTGTGTGGATATCCACTGGTAATCAAATGCATTTCTAGCGTGTTACCGCTACGACGGATGAAAGAATTAGTTTGCAAATGAGTGTATATTCGCTAATCTCGTGCAATTTGTTTTCAAGTAGAACATACAGTTGACGGAAACCCGGGGACTGCGCCTACCTGATGAGCCCCAAGAAGGGCGAAACCGGTCGTGGGTTGTCGATGGATTTTCAGCAGCCCTATGAGTAGTATATTACAAAGAAAGAATTATTCATTTTACGCTTAAAAACACGCTTGCCAACGTTGA